AATGAAAGATACATTATATAGCAATGTTTTCCTTGATAAAGATTAGTACTGTCATTATTATTCAGTATCATTCATTGTTACTATGTTATTGAATATAATAACTAACATGCAAGTTTGTCATCTCCATGAATGTTGTTGAACTATAATTCCCAGTATTCTTTGCCATTGGCTGTGCTAAGTTGCTAGGAGTTTTGTTATTACAAAGAAGGTTAAAAATTGCAAGTCTTATCCTTAATGATATTGTGTGCAAAATGCTTTGTATTCAGGAAAGGTTTCTCTATTTGTTTATGTATTGATTCATTAAATTTACAGCTGGCCTTTCCTCTTAGAGCTCATGGCACCTTACACCTTCATTTTATCCCCACAATCAATTTGGGTGACAACAGGCAGATATACTGGCCTCTCTTACATGCATCGCAAAAGTTTATACTCAATTTGGGTGACAACAGGCAGATATACTGGCCTCCCTTATATGCATCGCAAAAGTTTATACTCAATTTGGGTGACAACAGGTAGTACTGGCCTCCCTTACATGCAATGCAAAAGTTTATACTCTGATACAGAGGTTTAAACTGTATCACATGTATTACTAAAATGCCAATTGTATACACAGTGGCAAATGAGCATTATACTACTAATTGTTAGAAAGCTTAGTTCCTTTTATAACCATGAGGTGACCATTCTCCTCTTTTGTGATTTATTTTCAGATATCTCCAAGAAGTTTGAAAAAAAAATATTATCAATTTCTATGGCTTATAAAACTCACCTGGTGCCCTCTTCATATGCTAATTGTTTCAGGCCTCTCATGCATTCTTCATGTGTGTGCATGTGTATATATTTATTGTATTTGATATAATTTAATGATTGGTTTTAGGTCTTAGACTTCAACTAAATAAACCAACCTATTTCCCAACAACTTTGGGAAGAGGAGGCTGAAAAAGAGTTCCAGAGTCACCAAGGCATTCCATAAATAAGGGTGAATATGAAACCTAATCCAACACCTTACCACCCTACCAACTAGCTTTCCTTTTAAATCAGGGGTCTTCAGACTTGGCCCTTTTATGACTTGTGGACTTTAACTCCCAGAATTCCTCAGCCAGCATGCCCTGGCTGAGGAATTCTGGGAGTTGAAGTCCATAAGTCATAAAAGGGCCAAGTTTGAAGGCCCCTGTTTTAAATGATTCATCAAACAAGCCACTAGCTGTTAATATTTAGTGGAAGACTGAATACTAATCATGGAGCTTTTAATACAATATATTCCTTCAGAGTTGAAAGTAGGGTTCAAGTGCTAACACAGTATCCTGTAACTCCTTTCATGTTCAGGCTCCCTGGATCATTGAGGATAAAAGACCTCCAGAAGACTGGCCCACCCAGGGAGAAGTGGTCTTTACAAGGTATTCTGTCAGGTATAGGAAAGGTTTGGATTTGGTGTTGAAAGACCTCAGCCTGAGTGTAAAAGGTGGAGAAAAGGTATGTTTCTAACATAGCCACTTTACTGCAGTGAATCAACTTTGTTTTTTCTGTGACCTGCATTTAAAAATGAAGACTTTGGTTTTCTTTAGCTGATAGAAGAAATAGAACATTCATAATTATCAATGACACATATCCTGGTCATCATATAGTAAATATATGGTGTTCAGCCCTAGCTGCATTGATATCCAGAAAGTTCTTCAATTTTCTGACAAAACAGACCACAGTTCCATTATCAAATTTATAAGAGGGTATAAAGGGCAATCTTCATGAGTTCTGTGAGATACTTTGATAGGTGGGAAACTAATTTCATGTGGAAAAACCTGGCCACAGTATAAATTAGAATATTTTTATCCAATAAATAAAAAAGATTGTCTATATTTGCCCAAAACCCATTTCAAAATTTTGGCATCAACATTTAACAGGAGAAATGACCAATAACTTATTGTAAGGACCTACCTCAGCTAAGTCACCCAAGAAAGCAGAACTCTTGAAACAGGCATTGTCTCAAAAGGAACTTTTATTAGGGGCTAGTGACAGCAGGGAATCAAGGCAAGATCTGTCATAAATGTCATAAAACATTTCCTTTGCTAATATTTGACATGTTGACAGCTCAACATGGGCTATTTCCAAGGCAGATACCGTGTTTCCCTGAAAATAAGCCCTAACTTGATTTTCATGAAAAATAGCAATAATGTGATCACAGATAAGTGTCTTGAAAGTGTAACATAAAGAAGAAAAAGAACACTACATGTAAACCACAACCTCTACAAGTTTCATGCAATCTTTCAGTGGAACCATCATTTTAACCATTGCTGATTCTTCAAAATTGTGAATTAGGTTGGGATTGTTGGACGAACTGGAGCTGGCAAATCCTCAATGACCCTCTGCCTCTTCAGGATACTGGAAGCCACAAAGGGAGAGATTACCATTGATGGGTTGAAAATTGCAGATATTGGCCTTCATGACTTGCGATCCAAGCTGACTATAATTCCCCAAGTAAGCCTACTTTTATGTATTAAATCAGGGCTCTTCAAACTTGGCCCTTTTATGACTTGTGGACTTCAACTCCCAGAGTTGCTCAGCCAGCATGCCTGGCTGAGGAATTCTGGAAGTTAAAGTCCACAAGTCATAAAAGGGCCAAGTTTGAAGAGCCCTATATTAAATCATTCTAGTGGGGATTATTACTTTGTTTATATTTATTGGCTACCCAACTCCAGTATACTTTAGATTGCAAGTGTATAGCCAAACAGTAACAGTTGTAGATTTTTGTGTTAGAACAATTGCCTTGTGTCCCAGGACAGATGTAAGTTGGGAACCAAACACTGTAATTTAAATGAGATGATCTTTGTATGTATAATCAATGTATTTTGTCCACTTACTTTGAAAAGATTTTTAAAGATGCCTAAAAACAAGATTTCCCATTTCTATATTTTTTTTTCCTCAAAGTTTTCTATCTCAAAAGATTCTGATGAATAGCAGAGTTGTATCATTCCATGTGCCGGAAAATAGTTGCTCCTGCAATCTGAAGCTTTATTATTAAAATTTATATAGCTACCTATCTCATACATATGACTCTGTGCAGCTTACAAACAATTAAAACAAATATAAAACAGCAAAACAAACAATATAACAAGTTAAAAACCTCATCTGGTATAAAACATGGCTGCATGGATAATATATATTACCAGATATTCAGCCTATATAACACCATTACTCTGAGAGCTCCACAGAGACATCTAATCGGGGAGATGCATAGCGTATAAATTTAATAAATAAATGCCTGTGTTTCTCCAGGTATAATTCAAGGTGCTGTTTACTGTGGGTGCTCCATCACTGGAGATTTTTAAGAAGAGACTAGACCAGGGGTGTCAAACTGCCAGCCCGCGGGCCGGATGCGTCATGGCGAAACCGCGCTCACCCCATTGCCGGCAATGGAAAAAAAGTCACGATATGTCGCGTCACGTGACGTTGCGAATTTGATACCCCTGGACTAGACAGTCACTTGTCTGAAATGGTATAGGTTCTCCTGCTCGAGCAGGGGGCTGGACTAGAAGACCTCTAAGGTCCCTTCCAGCTCTTTTCTACTCTATTCATGATTTGGGGCTGGGTTACCTAAGGGACTATCTTCTCCCAGTGTTTACTGCCTTACAATTTGATCCAGCAGATTGGGCATACTGGTATGGCTGCTCAGTCTCGAAGAGTGCAGATTATACACTCAAACTTGTTTTAATGTCTCTTTGAGTTAGAATTTACTTCAGAAATACTCTAATATATATTTCTGTATGGGTAGGTAACTCATATTTCTTTAGACGTGCATTCTAAATCCAGTCTGATCATTTTCTTAAGGACCCTGTTCTTTTTTCTGGAACACTCCGAATGAATTTGGATCCATTTAATAAATATTCTGAGGAAGAACTATGGAAAGCTCTTGAACTGTCCCATCTGAAGAGGTTTGTCAGCAGTCAGCCTGCTATGCTAGATTATGAATGTTCAGAAGGAGGAGAAAATCTGAGGTAATTATAGTTCTAATTTGGAAGACATAAGTATAACAAGGAGACATTTCAAGAAAAACGTTGAAATATCTAGTGTCTCTCTTATGAAGCAATTGCATTCGTATCTCCTTTCCTCTGTCAATTCACTGTCTATGCTCAGTTCTCATTAGATTTTTATGTTTGGATCCCATCAACTCCTGCCCTACCCTTTGTTGTGTACTGTGTATGTGTGTGCATGCACATGAATACTGTCTATCTACAGTATTCTTACAGTATCTGGGGACAGTTCTCACTTCTATCCCTGGCAATAGTTTAAAATAGCTGTCAGCTTGAACCGGAAATAACCTATCTAGTCAATTAGTTATTTCTATTTTTTCATCCCAATCTTTTCTACTGTCTTTCCCCAGTCTGATTCTCTCCCAGTTTCCTTTCTTCTTTCCCCAGCCATTTCATAATTTTCATTTTTCCCCCAGCCATCCCATTTTATCAGTCTTTCCATACAGGTTGTTTCCTCTTGGGTCTCTCAACATTTTACACTATTGAATTACTTCGTTTTGTTTAAGAGAATATTCATTGTTTATAGAAAGGTCTTCAATACTGTCAAGCTCTGGAATGTGCTTTGCAAAATAGGAGTCACAGAACATCTCATTGTCCTCATGCAAAACCAATAGACAAGTCAGGAAGCCATAGATATGGACAGAACATGACAGGTAGAAGGAAAGAAAAGAAGACCAGCAGCAAGATGAATGACTCTATTGCAGCAAGATGGGTGCACTGTTGGAAAACCTGAAAGACCCAGCTGGGAAACAGATCATCCTGGAGAAAATCTAATATAATTGCTAAGAGTCAGCACCAATTTCATGCTGACTTCATGGGTGCACATAATCAATAAATCAATTGAGGGAAATAATATATGCAAGCTGGCATAAAATATAACATTAGAATATCCCGCCTGGACTACTGTAATGCTCTCTACATGGGGCTCCCCTTGAGGAGCACCCGGAGGCTTCAACTGGTCCAGAATGCGGCCGCGCGGGCGGTGTTGGGAGGGACTCGTCGCTCCCATGTAACACCGCTGCTGCGCGAGCTGCACTGGTTGCCGGTAGCCTTCCGGGTGCGCTTCAAGGTGTTGGTCATCATCTTCA